TGACTAACTTTAATTGCTTCCGGTGGCCAGAGATACATCACTCTTCACTTCTCCAATTTAGAGCTTAAGATATTTTCAGTTGTCCTACACCTCAGCTACATTAAATCCTCTTGGTTTATCTTAAAATCCTTTTCCTTAGCAAATGTCCTCCGTGTTTTAATATATGAGGAGGTTAGCACAAGGACGTCACTTATGAATAGTAAAAAACAAGAGTGGATCAGGAATCACCTCTTGTCTTTGGGTTCATTCAGACTGGTGGTTTTTATTTTACTACAAGACTATACCCTCTAGGTTTTCTGTAAACCGAGCGATGATGCCCCTTTGTGTAAGTTTAGCTAGTAAGGTCCTATGTCAACACTGTCGAAATCTGCGGTTACATCTAAAAAGTTAATGCAGACTGCCCGCTTGTTGTTGTTCCACCAAGAGGTCCAGCCATGAAGTTTGTGGTACATAACTGACCAGTTCTGACACTGTGTTCAATCAGATGGTGGAAAACGTTCCTCGTTATGTAGCTCCAAACAACATTTGCGAGTAAGCTTCCCAGTACTACAACAATCCCAAGAGCATAAAAACCAAAAGCTTTTAAATTCTGGCAAATGCATCTTCGGACCATAATCTCCTAGTTTATAATTTTGTCTCTGCATTTTTCTTATTGTGTTTACCTGAGTGTTATATCCTATGTTGTCATTTGCAGACTGGGTAAATGCACAAAATATAGATGCAGGAATATCGGTGGTTCCCCTGATACGTCCAACTGTCAAAATTTGAAATTGAGATATTAATTAAGGAGCTGAAGAGGGAACTGATTGTGAACAGTAGTTAAAAAGTGGAAGTGAGATGAACAAAGGCTAATTCAACTGAAATTCTGTGTTGATGAACAAATGTTTCGTAGGCTGATGATATCAACTGCTCTAAGGGAAAACTGTGAAAGTCAAGATGTTTTTAGAAGTGAATAAATCTTCAAAGCTTATTACTTACAGCTTAACGATAATCATACTTAAGCTGGTTACATTTATACTTTGAGCAGAATTGTTTGGATAAATTATACGGTCAAGTAAGTAATCATTATGCATCATCCTCTCGAACCGCTTTTCTACGGCATATTGGTTTACACCATGAGTCAATGAACACAATTTCCAGCTTGGACAATCTATTTCATGTTCTATCTTCGTGTTATAATGATGGTTATCGGACACCTTAAACGAACTAGAGACGAAACATCCTATAATTTACGATTATTCGACTCAATACCAGGATAAATACTATTGGTCGTAGTTTTCCTATCCGGGATAATGCTTAAATTCCAAACTCCTGGACATGTTCTTAACCCGCTTTGAAATTCTTCAGGAAAATCTTGTAGTTAGCTGAAATAAAGGCCTTTCGTGTGATCAAGCAAAAACATAGGCATTTTTTTGTCGTACTTTCAGCAAGTAGCTTACCACATGTGATAACCCCAGCGTTTTTAGATGAATCATAGGTTGGGGAACCAATTCTGTTATTTCAGGTTGGTATTCATCATGGACTGACATCAGTTGGAGAAACTTTGGAAGTACTGGACGGCTGTTTCGTCCTTTTATGACCACGCTAGGGATGGAACCCAGGACTTCCAGGTCCCGTGACCAGCACGTTAACATTGAGCCAATGGGTCGAAATCCAATGTTCGATGTTGTTCACACTTTAAATCTAACATATCAATCGGTGACATCACTTCTAGTACTCTGTAAAAAGCTGCTAACTGATTTCGTCCCCACAATTAAGAGGTGAACATATGTTTCAGTTCTTTAGAGATCGACTTACCTCTAGGGTCTGATTGAAATATGAATGACTACACCTTCCTTGTCTAACTACTGGCTCCACGACAACATCAGGCATCAATCCTCTGTTCCATCCCTCCAAAGTAATGCCACCAGAGCACCTGCTGTCAATGGTCAAGTCCCCTTAACCTCAGACATTTTATATCTAGATTTGGCTGCAGGTCCATATGATGTGCTTGATTTCAGTTAGAATAACCTTGCTCACCGTCACTCATCAACACATCTTCCCGCTCCTCTTTCCAACCCTCGAAACTGACTAATCAGCAGCCATAGATTGTAAACTCATCAACAGCAGTCTGGCAAATGACCTTTCATTAGAATAAGAGTCACCTCTATTTCCACACATATCTCATCCCCTTTCGATACAATCTATTCGTAGCTTAGTTGCTTGTCAGGGCGTCCGGTAAACTGTGCTTCAACTTTCTCCTTATTTTAGGCAATGACCGTCTTACTACCAACAAAATCCGTCATATGTATTCGATCTTTCTATAATCTGTCCATATGATTGATATGTAAGACACGCTGGCAAACTTTGCCAGCTAATCATTTTAAGCACCGAAGAGATATTGGACAAGGTAGCAGTACACGTTTTACTGAGTTTATGTAATCCAATGTTAGAAGAGGATTTGGGACTGACAGTACCTGACTCTGTATAAGTCATCCTAATACTTTCGGTCATAATACACCACTGTCAGGATATGTATTTATTTATAATTTACATGGTGGTGATGACTAGCAGTGGAATCCGTGATACACATTTTGTCCTACTTGGGACTCATCAGCTGGATGTGCCTGCACCCCTAGTAAGCAATGGTATTCCCACTCAGTCTCGAACCCAGCACTTATCGCTTTGAAAGTCAGAGGGTTGTCCAATACGCTACTGAGATACGAGAGACACCTCTTGTGCAACGTGTCAGTTATCGTTTATTGATACTTGAAATCTTCTGCTGCTATACTGAGTCAAATGGCTGAACTTTTGTTGGCATATGGGCTTCTATACGGATGCCTTGATATTTGTTGCAGTCTACTTGGTGTATTTATTCAGTCAGAAAACTTCCAATGATAACAATAGAACTCGTGATTATGAATAAAACATTAGTATCATTAAAAAGGTTGAATTTCAGTCAACTTGATCTGATTTGACACATGATATCAATCACAAAACATAATTTTAAGACAACATTTCAAACCATCATATGTATCTGTATAGCTTTCCTGTATGCAGTGATCAAGGCACGCGTGGATTTACAGTGAGTATATTAGCCATTAAACTATCAGACAAGAATAAAATTGCTTGTAGTATTAGATAGACAGATAAAATGACAAGATCAACGTAGAACCTCGCGCACAGATGCATCACCTCAGGTTGTCACAGTTTACAGTAGTAGACAAAGTTGTGTAAGAGAACAAACAAGTTGACGAAGAAGGTCAGTGCAAATATTTAAGCGCCATTATGACCGATTCCCAGCCGTGTCATCAAGAGTCCGTTAACCACTAATCCTTATGTTTAAGAGGACTCCAGTCAAATAAACTCCATCTCCCCATACACCTCAAACCAAGAGTCAGAAACCTCATCGATTGGTGTCACTTCTCAGCCTGACCCAACTTCTGCTAGGGATGCACATCAAGGCAAGTAATGACTCGGCATTCGCAGGACATATCCAAACTATTTCAGTCGGTGAAGGTTCATAACCTCATCAGGTGACTTGTGTCTTACCTAGTACTTTTTGCCTGACCTCAACATCGTTCACACAGCGATTCCACCAAATGTGAGCAATGATACGAAGGTACTTGTGTTCGAAAACCTGTAACTGCTTCATGTCTTCTACTTTTAACGGCCATGTCTCAGGCGTATAACAGCACAGAACGGACTGTGGCGCCCTATACTCGTCCTTTGATAGATAGTCGGATATCTCATCACTGGGCGCCACAGGTATTGGAAATGCTGGCGGAGACTTTTATGTCCGAGCTGAGATTTCGTCAGCAACTAACCCGGTTGGGGTGATGCAACTCCTCAAGTAAGTGAAGTGGTCGACACATTCCACCGCCTGACTTTCTATCATTAGACTAGGAGTAGATACAGACCAGTCTTGGAGCATCTTCTTGTAGTATTGGTGGACAGTTGCTAGCAGTGAGATCTAGGACGCACATTTCATCCCATTTGAGACTCGTCAGCCGGAAGCAGGTACATAGAAACCATCTTTTTTTCGCCAGAAAGTTGTGTTACGACAAATATTTTCACATACCAGCATAAAGTCTCTATGGTAAGCATCAAGCAATATCACTCAATTGCCATAAACCAGTTTACACCTGATAACTGATTAATACTCTGTACTTCATAAATAGAAGTGATCGTCTGTATAACCTGCACCAAAACTACAATGACTAAACACGTTCGAAAAAGTATCAAGTGAAATAGTACTAAAATGACTCGGAATCTAAAAACCAACCAAAATGTTTCGTAACACAATAGTTCTGTGCTTGTATATGTGTTGAATTTTGAGAGTGAAGTTAGTTACTCACAAAAAAAAGATTTGAAAATGAGAAAAAATGCAACACAATAGCTTACAGTAATTTCGATATCACCAATAAAAACAACAACACTGTGTTATTTATTCCCCCAACCACTGGGAAATATAAGTAGCAAGAAGTTCAGAGATGAAAAAAAGACATTACTTATACATTCATCTTTAGTTCAGTTTAAGAAAGTCAAAAGTTACATGTTTTAATAAAGAATCTTGTCGAAATCCTATTCAAAACATGCCTACTCCTACTACTTTTAACATCATTACCAGTCAGAAAAAGATTGAAGCTCATTCAGCAATCTAGTGCACATTTTCACTATAAGCAATCAATAAGTCATATCTATTGTGTGACGTCTGTTACAAATTTGGCTACTTTTCAAACATTCGTAAATAGAACGGGTTTCGAACCCGTAACTCACCAGTTGAAAGTCAACTCTACAATCATTAACAATAAGTAAACTTATACATCAAAAGTAACCAGGTTTGGACAGTCAGATAGTGTTCATCAGTAGTAACACAATAGAGCCTCACTGACCTAATGTGCACAAACTTGTATACAGTTTCTGAGCTGTATTATACCATTATTGCTTCAACACTCAGCCACACACACACACACACACACTTCATGACATCGAATATCACTGTAAAGTAGAATCAACAATAAATCCGGCACATTTATTAACTGATCTCTAAGTTAACAAAAACTTGAACAGGAAAGTAAAACCAATGAACAAGTTCACTCACAAGTATATAATATATAATATATATATATATGCTGCATAACACATTGGTGATATATACCAAGCAGAGACAAATCTTTTAGTTTCTGTCAAAAATAATAATAATAATAATAATCTAATCTTATTGTTCATATATATCAAAAGGGCAAAACTCACAACTCTACAAAATCACTGGCAAATATACACCTATTTTTCTCTTTAGCATAATAATAATAATAATAATGTTCATTAATTTTGTTGTAATATCTGTTCTATCACAAACGCTTAGGGGAATCGATTAAGAAATTCGCCTGAATTGTGAAAAAGAAAGGAGAAAAGAAAGAATAAACATCTTAACCTTCTGATCGTACACCAGCTGATTCAAGAATTGTACGACACAGGCTAGTGTACATAAACGAGTCACCATGTATACGCTTCATTTTAATGCCTAGTATACGATCATGGTGATCTCGTGAATTTGATGGTAATCGAGATGACCCTTTAGAAGATGTTGATGTATTGATTGTCATTCCTGATTGGTTCTTAGTAGATTCACTTGAATGTATGCGGACTGCAGGAGATGTTGATCTTAAAGTCATACGACGACGAACTGAAGCTTCAGCTGCTCGTGCTGAGACATAAACCAATTCTAATTCGAATGATAGAACAGTTTTACCCCAATCATTGGCGAAGACGCAAAGGAAACCAGATCTATTGATATAAATGAAAAATTGAGTAAGGCTATTGTATACGCATAATCTCAGTGTGAGAAAAGCAATAAATTTGACAATGATTATGAAAGTGATACGTTACAGAGATTAAGTCATATCCAACTAATAAGGTGAAATATCCATTCCCATGGAAACAGGATTAACGCTTACAGCAAGTCCTTTTGGCAAACACACACAAAAGACTGCATAAGCGTTACAACTTATCCAATGAAATCTTGTTGTGCATTGTGTGAACATCGGGACCTAGTATTTAAGTCTGTCAAAAAACATGTATGTATGTATGTATGTATGTATGTATGTATGTATGTATGTATGTATGTATGTATGTATGTATGTATGTATGTATGTATGTATGTATGTATGTATGTATGTATGTATGTATGTATGTATGTATGTATGTATGTATGTATGTATGTATGTATGTATGTATGTATGTATGTATGTATGTATGTATGTATGTATGTATGTATGTATGTATGTATGTATGTATGTATGTATGTATGTATGTATGTATGTATGTATGTATGTATGTATGTATGTATGTATGTATGTATGTATGTATGTATGTATGTATGTATGTATGTATGTATGTATGTATGTATGTATGTATGTATGTATGTATGTATGTATGTATGTATGTATGTATGTATGTATGTATGTATGTATGTATGTATGTATGTATGTATGTATGTATGTATGTATGTATGTATGTATGTATGTATGTATGTATGTATGTATGTATGTATGTATGTATGTATGTATGTATGTATGTATGTATGTATGTATGTATGTATGTAAAGTAAGTAAAGTAATCAAGGTGGTCTGCTCGAGCGTGATAGGTTAGAGCAGTGAGTATCATTCGTTGTAATAAACTATCAAACTTACTATTTGCTTCAGTTTGAAGAAAAATCATGAACTTGCAGTTTATCAATGACCATCAACTAGAATTAGATGTCGTCTAAGCTGACACAAAGTTTTCCCTTAAAATACTACGTATGCCTTCAATGTAAATGTAACTGCTGAAAAAGACAAGAATGGATTGGAAGCCTGAAAAATATCGTTCCAAATGTTTTCAACGTACAAAGCTAATTTAAGTAGTTTGATATAGGAAATGTTTTTATTTAAAGAAGGTTTTTCAATATTGATTCCCTGATTCCAACTAAAGTATGCAAATAATATATAAAGAACCTACCCTTTAAGAGTAAAGCGTATAGAGTGCTGCTTTAAAGCTGCAGTTATTCGATCAAACACTTGACCAGGAGTCATATCATTTCGTACAATTAAAACATTATTTAGATGACGCGTTTTTCGTAATCGGTCTACAACTAGCCGACCATCTGTTATAACTTTTTTAGGAGTCAATGCTTTTTTGAAACGTCCAAAATTACGCCAACCACCAGTCTCAGGCGCATGATTTGAACCAGATCTACATTCGTCTGCGGAACTCTGAGACTGTGAAAAATCATCACCAATGATTCCAGGACTTGAATGAAGAGATGTCACTTCATGATGCAGCATTTTCGATGATATAGATGATGAATAGGCTGTTGATAAATTGTCCTCACTTGTAGTCTCATTCACTGATGAAGGATGTCGTCTTTGGAGAGAGAGAAAGGAAGATAATGATGAGAAACTGAATAATAATAATAAGTACACTAAAAATCTGTAGCAAATATTACTGACTAGGATAATAGAAAAAACAAGAGTCAAGACTCTTGGGAAATATACACAGAAACATTTTACCAATGGGGGGGGTTATTTTTGATCTGTGAAGACAAAGAAACAGATGAATAATAACTGAAATCTATCTGGAACAATTTGTTATGTAATGGTTAAGATAATTGATGATAAACTCCAATGACTGATTAGCGATCATGCGTGAAATGTTACCAAATATGTAAATATGCATTTACAATGAATTGATTTATTCCACAGAACACAAATTATTCATGCATTAAATAATTCCTATGTTTCTCCAACTGATATCAGCCTATGACGTATACCAACCTGGAATCAATAACTCCCCAAAAACCTCCAAATTGAATGAATCTAGTGTTCATTGGTGACTAACTAGCTTTGAGAGGTGATTTCCAAAGTTCCAATGAGAAGTCGTGACCAGTGGAGTCAACCAAGTCGGACATGGGGATAGGTACTCAACGACAGTATTGGATGGAGGTCATGCTATATTGTGAACTCACCTGATTCTGACCTAGTGTCCCAATGATAACGTGCTGACCACGGAACCTGAAGGTCCTGGGTTCGAACCTTGGTGGTGCAGGGTCATAGGTGCGCGCTGCTAAGGAATCCTATAGTGGGACGAAACAGCTGTCCAGTGCTCCCAGTGTTTCTCTATCTAGTGTCAGTCCATGATGAATACCAACCGGAAGTCACTAAATAATACTTAGGTGTTTAGTCATGCTAATAACATATAGGCAGTGATATATTATTTCCCTATTTTTCCCTACAGATGAACTTCATAACCAGATGGATATATGTGATCAACTAACAGAACCAGATAGAATACACAGCGGAACAATATTCTTTACCGGATTACGTTTCGGATACAATTTAGCGTCCATACTCACATCAGGTAACTCTACAACTTTGAGAGATGGTTTATATAGCTCGAATTTCCTCGCCTCTTTTGTGGGTAGTAGGATTTTTCATATATATGGAACAGGTGACGAATCATTCATGTTGCACATGTTCGGTTTTGATTTGATGAATAAAGCTTTGGTTATCAACCTCTCCATCCACTCAATTAAGTTAGTTTTACGGATTCTTACTCTATCGTATCCTATAGTGAATTCATTTCTCGATCCTATGCTGGCGGATATCTTCTTCGTCAAACTTGAAAACAGTCTACTCAGAGACTTACTTGATAGATCAGACTATTATTATCAGTATTTAGATGATAAGTTCATTGTTTGTGATATTGACTTCAGAAAAATAATCTGAATATTTCAAACAATCTCCATTCAACTATGAAGTTCATCTATGGGAAAAAAACCCATAGGAACAGTATATCATTCCTAAATGTCTTCCTCACCAGGAAGACGATTGGATATTGTGAGACGACTATTTTCAGAAAAAAACACATGGATAGGTCAATGTATTAATTTTATAGCTTTACACTCATTCAGTGTAAAAGAAGCCTAATCAACTGTGGATGGATTAAAGAATACGAAATATATATTCTGATAACTCTGCTGAAGAAGACATAGAAACAATGAAAACATTGTAGTAAAATGGTTATCAAGTAGACTTCATGCATAAATACACATCAAGCGTTGCCAAGAGACCTTTATATCTTAGGATAACTTTAAAAGTTGATGTCAACTCTGATATCTTAACATACCAATTGAGTAAATCTATCGAAAGGATATTCACTGCAGTGAAACATTTCGTTAGCTTCTCAACCACACCACTACTGACAGAGCGAAGACACGATAGGTTATCAATGATCATCATCATCATCATCATCAAAACAGGATCAGGCATTACTGCCTAACGGTCCGAGTTGTCACACCTCATATCAGCACATTAAGTAACAGGGGAATAAAATGGAAAATGAAGAATGAGGAAAAATCAGTCAAAGGAAGTATAAAGTAGTAAAGTCGGGGAAGAAAGAATGAGAGGATGATGACATTATGTATAGCGATTAAGACGAGGATAATGCATGTATACATCTGCGCCACTGACATCGGTTCTCACCCATATCACCTACAGTCTCCAACCACTGATTTCTCATGTCCCACGGATCATAACCGGCTAGTCTGCATGGCTAGACATATGTAACATATGTCCACCAATGATAGTTATCACTTCAGTGTGAATTTATGAGTTCAACTGTTTCTATGGTGCTAGTTATATAGACCACACTCAATCCATGCGCGCTTATCAACATGTAACAGTTTAGCTAGGGAAAGCAATGACAAAGTGCATCAACATTGAAGTTCTTGAGCATTTAGTAGACGATGTTCCTTGCAATCTCCGTAAAGCCATCACAACTACGCCTCTTATCGGATGACTTTAAAGGTCACTATGGTAACTGCTGAAATAATCAATCAGGTTTCGTTACTCCGGCTGGAAATAAAGTTTGTCATAAAATTGGTTGTGTCAGCAGTTGCTAGGGTCGCCCTTTAAAGTCACTGCTCTTATCCATAGTTGAAGTCAAGAAAACCTGATCTGTGTTCAAAAGAAATATATGTGTATCCACTTTGTCTACCTTGGTCCATAATAGGGTCAAACACGTTCTTTATGAACTTTTCTAGGATAAATTTCACATTTAAACCTCTCAACCAATCCTATCCTTTTAATTTGTCTGGTTCATTTCATTGATAAACATTCACTTTCATTTGTTATTAGTTTCATGACCTTGTTTATTTACGCCACTAGGAGCAGTCATTTCCAAAAGTTATATAACAGTCATAGTTGTTATTCCTTATTTCCTTATTGTATTCACATGATTTCTCTACCCTACTTCAATATAACTCATCGCTACATAATGATTATCTCACCCTTAGTAGACAGACATTCACATCCCAGATAGATGTGTACAATAGATTTTGTCTCCTTATATCATGATTGTTCTGTTTATTTACACTTCATTGCAAAACTAACACTAGACTGATTACTATTCAACATGAAAGAAGCTTATATCGATCTGTAATCCCATTTTAGTCTGTTTATTAGATAAGCCACTCAGTGAGAGAATATCACTTACTGGATAATGTTTCGAAAATAGTTTATCGTTCATATGCTTCAGTATACTGTGCCCTGTTATACGATTGTGATTTACAGTCGTTAAAAGTGGAAGACATGAAGCAGTTACAGGTTTTTGAACATAGGTGTCTTCGTATCATTGCTCGCGTTTGGTAGAATCACCTTGTGATTAATGTTCAGGTCAGTTGAAAGGTATTAGGTAAGACAGATAAGTCGTCTGATGAGGTTGTGAACCTTCGTCGACTGAGATAGCTTGGATTATTTACTGCGCATGCTGAGTCACTACTTAGCTCGACGTAGAGCCCTAGCATCAATCAATGAGGTTTCTAACTCTTGGTCTGAGCCGCCGTATGGGGAGACGGGGAATGCCCGGTTAGGGACCTCGAAACCATAAGAATCACTACTTGATGACACTTGGTGACATGGCTGGGTATCGATCATAGTGGCGATTATATAGTTCATAGCTCTCGTAGTTCAAGCATACAACATTTAATCGATTCCGAACACTAAGTGGATCTAAAATCTAATTTCATTATCATCTATGCAGTAAATGGGAATCTCATGAAAACTATGTAGATGAAACTTTTTCAAGATGCAGAAGCTATAGTAATTCATACTTGGAAACTTGAACTCTGCATACAAAAGAAGTTACTTACAGTCAATAAACTAGTAATCGATCGTTTCAACTACAGGCGGCACAGGCGAGGACGTCAAAGCCAGCCAGGATCGGAAAAGACAGCAAGACAGGCGTTCATTAACCTGAAACCAGTGTGGAGATCTGCACTCAGCATAAAGAAGAAGATCTGGATTTTCAACACTGATGTTAAGTCAGTGCTTCTATATGGTTCAGAGACTTGGCGCGTTACGAAAAACATTTCCAACAAACTACAGACATTCATCAACAACTGCCTCCGCTGGCTCGTTACTGAAGCTTAGATGGCCAGAATAATAAGAATAAGCAACAAGGGACTCTGGCTGGCTGGTAACGAACCAACGAAGCAAGAAGCTATGGCTCAACAAATAAGCAGTGGAAAGAGATGGATTGGGCATACACTGAGAAGGCCGACTGGTGACATCACGCGCCAGGCACTCGAGCGGAACCCGAAGGGGAAACAACGAGTTGGTTTCCGAGGATGACACATGGAGGAGATCGTGTGAGGAACAACTGAGAGGTTCTGGGCAGTCGTGGAGCCAGGTTCAAAAGATTGAAGAGAAGGGAGTGGAATGGAGACGTGCTACTGAAGCCCTATATTCCACTAGGAACCCAAGAGGCAAATAATAATTATACATAGACTAGTGATCAACTTAAGTTGTGTAAGGACTTAACCTTTGGAAAAAGGTTCCTTTCTTGCATATTTACCAACTGATTATGTTATCTCCCTCCTTAGGACACATCCTTCCAGTTTATCAAAGTTCAACTTTTGATTACCGAATTACAAGTCTATTGCATCACAGCATAACCTAGTAACTTAACCGGGTTTCAGCTTTCGATAAGTCTTTATTTTCAAATTACATGATAGAATTTTGTTCATATGCTTATGGAAATATTTCCCTTCATGATGTCAAGTAAATGTTAAAGAATGTACATATACATACTCGACTGTACAATTTGAGAATGAACTACTGGATATACATTACTTTTAAAATATTAAATAATATAAAACAAATGTAATGAGTATTTCACAATACACGATAACAAAAAATCGAAGTGTAAAAAGTAAACTCACTTATCAGTTAACTGTGTATTATGAAAATCATGTGTTAAGTTGGTGAGTTGTGAATCAACTGACCGGCTAGGAGATAAACCTGGATGATCCATAATTTTGCCTAGAGACAAAAAAGTAGTTAATCATTATGCAAGTCAGCATCATTATATAAAATACAACACCTTCAACATTATACAAATGATGGATAACATGCTGACAAGCTCTGCTATAGTAAAAATACTAACTTCCTTATTGACACAACTAGATCATTGGGATAGTGCTTTAGCATTTCAAGCAATGGCTACTAGGTTAAAGTTCCAGTGCTATCCAGTCACTAAGTAAACTACAATGTGTCAAAGGCATGTTCACTCGATGATATAAGAATCTGAATCCATCGAACTCGATGACATGCAACGGTTAAACGTACATTATGTATGTTCAAACACGACAACAGTGTTTTCTCAAACGCATATATTCATCCTATGGAACTACACTAATGATCATTTTATAGATGATGACAATAACATAAATGCCAGGTATTTATTATACAAGCAGTCGTTGGAACGTTATTGATTTCAGCAGTTACAGCTAGAGCTCTTCGCTGTTGAAATGTTGAATACTACTGTGCACCAACTGTATCGTTAATCAACCCTAAAAACTTAGGTCTATGGTCGATGAAATATACTTTTCACCACTTCTGACTATTTTTAAGCTGTGGCATAGATCACTAGTCTAGGGGTACTCGATTTCCAACCAGCAGGTTCGAGCCCCGCCCAACCTACAGAAAGTTTGGGCAACCAGGTAATATCACTAACTCTGACACGGTAAGTGTGCCTCATTGTCTACTGCACTGCATATGCAGTACATAGTCACTGACTGAATCTCCATACTCCTGACTTTTGCATAGTAGATATATACAGGATAATGATGTAGTGATATATGATCGATCACCTGTTGATCAAAAACGCATAATCTATGTTAACATTTAGCGTCAATGATGAAAAATTGTAGAATTCTCCTCGCTTCAATATCACTAGTGAAGTTAAACATTTCGAGCTTGATAATAACATGAAATAGTTTCAGTATAACGACTGTATTGATTCTGAATGTGATAACAGTTAGTAAACAATTTGACTGAAAGGAATAAATAATACGTGAATTAATTGATCAGTTATTGTTATTACCGGTGTTATAACCAATCGAAGAAATGAAAGTAGAAATCTTAGACAAACATTATTAGCTGTATCAATTTAAAAGACATTTTCACCTAACACTTATTGGGCAGCTTAATTCACGAGAAATTTATCAATTTCCTACTGAATTCCATGGTCAAATGAAGCCAGTTTCTTGCGTATTATCCCCTTTTTTCTACACTTGATAAATCAATTATTTCATTTGTATGCAGTATAGCTCATCATAGACATGTGATTCAATGGTATACAACGATGGAACAGATGGTTAAAAATATATAAAGATAGTGAGCAATTCCGTTATACAATGGAAGAGAAGTAGTAAGTGAAAGAAAAATTATCTTGCGTTCAATTCAGTAGAAGTATGAGTAAAGCATAGATCAGTACAACGAAATTCAGATAGTGAGGCAAGATAAAACTCAGCATCCTGTGATACGATATAAGCATTATATTATATAGTGAATATTATTTCGTCGACTTGTGAAAGTAAGTTTCTTATCCTCAACACATCTTGATATTTCACTCCATCTACTTCACACACTGTATCGCTTACCAGATATACTTATGCATATTTTTCTGTATAGCCAACTTAGATTGAGTTTATATTTCGCTAGTTTTATGACAAGTTTATAATTAGGGAAAATTACCTCGAGGTGGTTGACTCTTTTTATTTACTGAGAAATGAGGAGGATAATTTTCAATTTCATTTTGAGTATAACTATTCATTTGTTTATTCTGATGAAAAAATGGACCATTCTTGGAAGGTGACAAAGATGAATTGAACTTGACATTCTTTTCAGACTGATTCATATCCTTTATATTACAAAAGAAGATTGAAGAGTATAATATAGTATGAAAGGGAACAATAAACACAATGTTCAATAATTCAGTTACAGTTTGTGTAACTAACAGATGATGAAAGTAATTCATGAAACGGTTTTATTGAAAGAGATATACGATACACTTGTTGATTATGGATACTTATTATAGGATTCAGAAATGCTGTTTACTCACCTTTAGTGGATAATGCAAACCTATTTTATTAACAGCCTTTTCTTACACAATGATGCTGACTACCTAGTAGATTAAGTAAAGCTTTTTTAGTGCTGGAATGAGTAATGCAACCTAGGACTAACCGACTGACCAAACAACTCAGAAAGACAGACAATATCAGCATACAGACTGGAATTACTGCGGAACGATCCAAGTTGTTATACCTTACTTACATCACAACAACCAAACAGAGAAGAAGACAGTCAAAAAAGAGCAAAGAAGGCTGAGATAATACTGAAATTCAGTATGACAATTAAGATAATGTGTAGATACTTCTCCACCACTGACAGACAGACAGACAAAACCAACGTACAACCTCTCATACAAGTGCAACGCTTCAAGTTGTTACACTTCACAGGGGTAAACAAAGAACAAGTGGACAGGAAAAGACGATAGTTGGCGAAATTGTATGGGAGAATAAGCAGTCTGAAGATAAAGGTTAGTAAAAATATTCAAGCTTTAAAAGGCGTCAAGGAGTGAATACATCTGCGCCATTGTGACCGATTTCCCAACCATGTCGCCACGAGTCCTCAACCCCTGATTCCTGTGGTCTCGGAGATCCCAACCAGGTAGTCTACATCTCCCCACACGGCTCAAACCAACAGCCAGAGACTTCACCGATGGATGTCACCTATTGGTCTGGTCACCCTGAACCCTCTTCCAACCTAATCCAACTTCCCATGGCATGAAACATCAAATTAGACGATGGCTCGGCCACCATTGAGATCGGTTCTCGGTTATATCATCTAAAGGTTTCAACTATTGGTGCTGATGGTTACGCAGAACGCAACCAAGTCTACATAAGGTTACAGGCCAACAGATGAAGACTTCGTCCAATGATGCCATACTGTAGTCTGGCCGTCCCTAACCTTTTCCCAGCCTGAATCTACTTTAGCAATCATTGTGCAATGAGGTAGATGGTTACTAGGCATGCGTAACATATGCTCCAGCCACCTTAAACGATGAAATTTACCGACCTTTTTCTTCTCCCCCAAAATCCTACGTCTACCCTCTACGTTACTCACGTGTTGCCTTCGTCAAACACGGCATATGCTAAGAAGATAATGATGGTCGAACACCTGAAGCCTTTTCACGTCCTTCATCATGTTCCACAGCCGTAAAGCTGAAGAAAGTGAACTGGAGTGCAATAAGTGGCGTATGTACGCGAAAGTCAATCCAGCCCTTGTATCCGTGCAGAGATTTCGTGGGCCACTGACCCACTACGGCTAATCCCGCTTCCCAGGTAAGTGAAATGGTCAAAGCGGTCAACCATTTTACTCCCTATTGTTAGCCAGGCGACTGTTCAAGATCAGTTCTTGAGCAAAAATCTGCATTTGAGTGGCAGGAAATCCACCACAAACACTTTCGAAATGCCACTCGTATTCAGAAGACTGCATCTTTTCAGTGCCTTCATCTAACAGAACTGTATCACCTACGTAATCTAGATCCAATTAGGAATCTCCAGTGACCAGATCAATTCTTGTGAAGCTGGACGACGAAGGGAAGATCTCCATAAGTACTTCTAGTATAAAATGGAGAAAGTGGATATGCTGAACGACGTACAAAACTCACCGTAGACCCTAAACACGCCCACAAGTGTTCGAGTGCAGAGACCGTTCGTTTGTTTTGGATCCCAAAAAGTGCCCAGCTGAGCCTACCCTCTTATTCATTGAAATCGTCCACCAAAGGAAACATTGGAATGAATGGCTTTCAGTGGACGGCTAGACAGTTTTCAGTAAAACTCATTCATCTCTCACCTCTTCCAAATTGCAGTTAGAGGTTAAAAAGAGACAACGGCGAATTCCAGTAGTCTTTTTAGACCTTACCGTGCCGTTTGGTTGAACAGCGCATAATGCTATAACTACACCCGCAGGACAAAGAGAACTAGCCACCCAATCTCCAGAAAATGGACCAGTGAGTTTTGCAGATTCATCATATTGACTAGGTGTGCGTAACTGAATAACCTAACTAGGGACCTGGGTGTATGTCTCAGAAACACACCAGATATCCATCATCCGAGTTTTAGCTAGCGAAGCTAGTTGGCTGATTTGACGGGGGTGGGTGGGTATGCAGGCATTGAAAGTCGCAATGTGTCGTTTGGAGCGTGGTTTCGAGAGACAAATGCTATTCAGTGATGTCAAATTATTATCAAGAGCTGAAGAGCTGGAATAAATTAAAGATGATTTAGCATTATTGGCCGAGAGACATGGTGGGAACCTTAGAAGATTAAAATATGGAGGGCTGATATTGATGCGCAGGAAACTGAATGCTAACAGAGTTGTGAGGGCTGTTGACACTTCCAGGTAGTCCAGATCATAGAAGGGTCACTGTTTGGTCGCAGAGCCCAGGGGATCTGTTGAGGTTGGTCACATACGGTTTATTTAGAAGTTTTCTTCCAAATCCATCAATAAACCCATACCACTGACACCTGTATACCACAGGGTACTGGAGAGTGAGCTGATTTTAGTACCGATCATTTCTAATCCCCTCCCCTTCCTATAGGGAAGGCAGCATCAGCAGGGTACTGCTGGTCATCTGAGGGAAACAACGTACTGTTACAGCCCATCAAGCCAGTAGTACGACTTCACCCTCGAACCCTCGTCTACAAAATAACGGCAACTGGTTTTGTCTTATTACTATCCAACTTACCTTTCTGATAGTGTAGGACTTCTGGGAACATGTGAACCTGTCAGCAGAGCCCTTTGGGTCATTGCGAAATGCAAGTCTAGCCACCACATCAAGGTGGCAGCAATCAGTCGAACTATTTAATCACAGCATATCCTAATTTTAGTAATTGTAAATCCAACTCAGTAATAATTTACAATTCAATGCATTAGTTATGAGTTTCATTTTGTGAGGATAAAAGATACTATCCAAAATTCGAAACCCCATTAGATGAAACAATATTTGAATTTATGACTCAGTAGTTCTAAACAGGGCGATATAATTACACCAATGAACTACATATCTACCAAACATATTCACGGACATTAATTTACCTATCGAATAGATGACTCTAAATTCGCCTGAGGCATACATAGTAATTGTATTCAAATGAGAATACAAAACTGAGATTAGTTTAGTGTCATAAAGGCTTAAAAGAGATGATAGAACCAAGTGTTATTTGTGCATTCATTCAAGAGAAAAACACTTAAAAATAATTAGGAGTAGAAAAAACGAATACTAAAGTTTGGGTAAAGGATATACCTCATCAAACTTATAGTGAGATGCTATTTGAATATTAGATAAAATATATTTCAACTTGTTTCGGACAGCTATATCTCAGAATGTGAATGCTAAGGTATAGATGTTCTCCAAGAAAGGTTTGAGACTGAGAATTTCGTCTAAACAATGCAAACCTAGTGAATACTTTCACCTCAATACATTAATATTCTCTAGTGAACAAATACAGAGAGTTCAGCAGGGCCAGAAGACGGAATATGCAGAAGTAACAATGTTACAAACTGATTATTACATGGAGAAAGGCTATTAATGCAATTGTATACTAACTAGTGAAATGTTTGACCCTAAAGAACGATCATTATTCGTCAAAGTTAAGATTTAAAACAAATTATATACAACAAATAGTGGCAGCATAGGAAATTAAGAGATATTAACGAGCAAACTTACTTCAGTAAGTAGATCAGAGGTAGTGGATTCATCAATAAAGGCAGCATGCATCAAATTATTGGGTTTTACATGTAATGGTACCACGGGAACTGATGATGGTGCCATCTGACTTCCACAGTGCAATGGAGTACTGGTAGGAGCTGAAACTGAAGCTTTCTCACTTCGAATTTGACGACAAGAAAGTGTATGCAGTCGTCTAGACGAAACTACACTACCTGGTGCATTATTACGACGTTGAAGTCGAATGAAAACATCCTCTTCTTCCAGAGCTGATTCCATGATCATATAAGTTGCCATAATATAATCATATGGACGCTAATGAAAGTGGGTAAAAGAAATTATTACTAATGAAAAAAGCAGTGAATCGAACACTAAAAGACATTCATGTACATACATTCAACGAGTAAAAAAAGGTTACAGGTAAGTGTTACATGTTCACTAAGAGACGATAGTCGTTTACCCCAATTAGATAATTTTAAAAATTATGAATCATAGTAACAAATGAACAATGATTTCGAAGTTTAGATACCTAGCCGCTGCTTTCAAAATGATATATATATAAATTTAACACTGACCACAGCTTAGTTGTTGGCGTGGGGAGTGAGTTTAGCAGTGATAAAAAAAATTAACATTTCTAATTACCTAAGTTTACCTGAAATTATGAAAGGTTTTGGTCAGGCAGGTGAATGATGCAGCCCACTAAAGTAGGGAAGTAAAACTTATAGGTGATTAAAAATGGAGCTACATATATGTAGTATGCGCTACTTATAGGAATACATACAAGTAGTATGCAGCATGATATCTAAATAGTAGAGGTTCTGAAGAAGAGAATGTGAAGTATGGGAAGGGAAATGCATAAGTGTAAAAGAATTCGAAGACTAAATCATTTTGGATGTAGAATGCAGAGACTTGTTGTCTCGACTGTGTTCAGTGTAAACTTTCCATACACTACCAATATACACGGTGCAATTTCTTCCAATAATCAATCTATTATCAATCCTCATCTCTATTCTTACTACGGATGTGTAGTTCCCGAATGTTATTCACAAACAAAAAGCATTTTCAATATTGTTACTGTTGCCTCTGCTGAATTGATAACTACCTAGAATTGTAACGAGTCCTTAGCATTGTATGACTGTAAAAGTCACCATAACAATCGCTGAGATAACCAACTACATCTCTCTATTTTGTGAAAAACTACTTTCTCAGCCTAAACTCCGAAACCTGATTAGTTATTTCAGCAGTTACTAGGATAGTCTTTAAATTCACTCCTACTTTTTGAAGCAATGCGACTAATCCTTGAGAGAAGACAAAAATTCTTTTCTACAGAGACAACAATCACTCAGTAAATCATTTTCTTTTCAATAATTACCTGCTCCACATTAAAACTCATTGTTCTATCAGTCGACTCCAAAGTGGATTGAGATTGTTGTTTGTTTTGGTCTTGTGTACTACTACTGAAAGCGTGCGGACGATTGACACTTTTTGGATGCCCACCGAGTGGAAGGCTATTTCTCCTTAAAGTGTCTGAAAGAGGAAACGATTTGTATGACCAAGGACCAACAGGCCATCTGCTTGAGGCCTCTCACACACAACCTTTTCAGAATTCCTGGTATAAAATTTAACTGTTTGAAAGCCAGATAGAGAAAACTTATACCGCAGGCAATGGAAAACCCTAGAGCATGGAGGTGTGTGCTATTTTTGAGGCCGACCTTTTCTAACCCCTCCCCTTCACATACAGAAGTTAGCATCAGCGTGGTACTGTTGGTCATTCGAGAGAAATATCTTACTGTTCTAAAAGGTGAACTGCTTCAGTCAATGATTGTAAAAATGCAGCAATTGTTGAGTTGTAACTTGGGCGATGGCAATATAAACCATAAGGTGATAGGCAAACTATTAAAGTCATGTGTAAGAAGTAAGTCTACTTTGTAGACAGACAGTGCAGTGATCGAAAGGTTAGGATAGTATTCTGTCACTCATTACTTTCATTTTTTTTCCAACCTACTGCAACACAATCCGGTAAGTGTTGCTTAGTGTATTATCAAGTGAACTTCTGTATAAATGACGAAGAGAGTTCCTGGTATACTATATGCATTTAGTACTAGACTTCCAACCAAGGAGTCACAGCTTCACACAATGAGACTTGGGTGGTCACAAAGAAGAGAAGTACTCATTACACAATGTTATGTATGTCGTTGTTGAGATGAGATAAGAAATATGTGCAATGGTAGATGAGTTCTGGAGACCTAACTTCAACACAAAAGAAGTATATGCATTTAAAAATTGCATTTGAACTCGACTCATTTATGCCGGCAAATGACTACCGAAATGCAGTATATTGGAGATGGAACAACCAGTTACTCAGTATACGCAAGAAGCGAATCAACAACATCATTATAGAAAATATGGGATTTCGATTTCGTTCGTAGCAAATTCCTCTTAAACAGTTTTCTTCGTTTTTATACTACTATTATCATAAATACGATCATTCTTCCGTTATCGATCTTTGCTATGCTAAGGAGAGGTGGATGAAGTTGGAAGAGTGGCCAGACCAAGACATGATATCAGTCCATGAAATCTATGACTTTAAATACAGCAAAAACAAAGAAACTTTAGCAGAATAGCATGGATTCATTTTATTTCGTAGTTCCTCATCAGCTGCTTACAATCTAAAACAACTTTAACATCAATTTGTACAAAAATGTTTGGATACTCAAATCAGTTTGATAGAAGTAAAGATATCATCGATATAATGAAATAATTGAAAACATATGCATTGAGTGAACAAATATGCAGAACTAAGTTTGAAACAGAAGACGAAGTTTATCTGAACAATGTGTGATCCATTTTGTGCAATACATTTCGAACAATCTGATCACATATTTACTTGTCAAGTCAATATATATTAAACCGAAGAGTAGGGGAGTGGGGGGGGCTAATACAACAATTAAGATAAACAGGGGATTAAAATTAAGAAAGATGAGAACAAACAGGACAAAGAGTCACATAGTTCATCCTAATCTTGGTAAGTAAAACAAATTTTACCAAGCAAGGTAGGTGTAGTGTACACGGACAAATTGTTTTTGTGCACATATAGGCCGCACAAAGTGTACGCTTTCCAAATGTGTATCTCGGAGCACTATTCTGCATGGCTGTCAAGAGGAGAATGTAAATCAATTAACAGTTCAATTCTTGAACATTTAGTCAACTCTAGACATAAAGCTAGACCAGAGTCTTCCTTCAATGTCATTTATTGTGTCAGATGGAATAGTTCAAAAGGAGTACGCCTTCGACAGTTGTGCAGGAGGCACTGGCAATTCATCGATTCAAGCCTGATCTCTGAGTGCCAAAGAAGTATGTTCAATCTCTCATCTAACCACGGTCTCAACACTTTCATTTTTTTCGATTTCATTATAATTAATTAGTTTATTATTATCACCTTCATTATGGCCCTTGTCTCATTCTTCGCCTTCTTTACACCTATCTATCAAGTGGACACTCAATATTTGCGTTTCTTATCTACCAACAATTTTCACCTTGTCAAACTCTTTGTCTTCTTCGATATTTCTACTGTCTTAGTTTATTACGCAACTACTTTGCATTCTTGAATCTGGTTGTTTTTTAGCACCAGGTTAATGATGTGATTGCACCCTATTGTTTTATAATAGACTGTTATGTTTATGACATGTATAAATATAGATGGTTTCAATTTATGTATGGCTATTTTTATCTTATTTATTAGTCCCTTGGGTTCCTTATGGAACATAGGGCTTCACTAGCACGCCTCCAGTGAACTCTGTTCTTTGAAATCTTTTCAACCTGGCTCCACGACAGCCCACAAGCTCTCATTTCCTCCTCGCACGATCTCCTCCATGTCAACCTCACCTAGGACGCCCAACTCGTCGCTTCCCTTTCGGATTCCACTCGAGGGCCCGACGAGTGATGGGTGATAGGTTCTTGGTTAGTTCGTTCCCAGAGCTCGTTGTTGCTTATTCTTTCTGGCCATCTGATCTCCAGTAACGAGCCAGCGTAAGCAGTTGTTGATGAATGTCTGTAGTTTATTGGAAATCCCTTTCGTAACGCGCCAAGTCTCTGAACCATACAGAAGCACTAACTTGACGTTGATGTTGAAAATACGGATCTTGTTCCGCATGCTGAGTGTATGGCTATGGCTTCCGCAAATCTCAGAATACCTCCCTGACTGTTTTTATATAAAACTTTGAAAGCTGTTTGAACATTAACTTTGTAGCCTGTTTCTATGATATGTTTAGTTATAGATGAAGAGGTCAAGTAGCACTGAAGCCAACTCTAAACACGGTTCCTAAGAAAAGCGTCCATATCACTCTACCATACATAAGACAGTTGAATAGTATCATTTTGAGATGTAGGCTGACACCAGCCATTAAGAAAACATATTACACAGCTAGTCTTATCATTTTTGGAAAAGTCAAACACCTGCTTCACTAAAAACCTAAACATTGAATCAGTGATTACATCCCATCCCATTGTGTTTACCAATTTACATGTGTGTATGTGTGTGATCATACATACATAGGGAGGAGTAATCGAGTCGTGCAGTTGAGGGTGAGAGGACATGTACCTAAATTGCTTAGAAAGCAAATGGAATGTGATACCGTGATAAACGCTGATGGGAGACGATCCTCTTCATCTATAACTAAACATATCATAGAAATAGGTCACAAAATTAATGTTCCAACAGTCATGGAGGTATAGAGATTTGGTGAAGCCGTAACGATAAACAAATTGAAACCGCCTTTATATGTACAAAAACAATTTGTCCGTGTACATTACACCTACCTTGCTTGGTAAAATTTGTTTTACTTACCAAGATTAGGATGAACTATGTGACTCTTTGTCCTGTTTGTTCTCATCTTTCTTAATTTTAATCCCCTGTTTATCTTAATTGTTGTATTTGTCCCCCCCCTCTACTCTTCGGTTTAATATGTATTGACTTGACAAGTAAATATGTGATCAGATTGTTCGAAATGTATTGCACAAAATGGATCACACATTGTTCAGATGAACTTCGTCTTCTAATTACGCTGTAGATCTAAGTTTGTCAATACACAGAAGGATAAGACGAATATTCCAGGGTAGAAGTTCGAATAAGTGGGGAGGGAGGACAAGTACATTCAATATATTAAGAAAGCTGACACAAAATGTGTGAAAGAAGGTCATAAGATCTGTGTTAACTAAAAGATAATGTGAATAGGATTCAGATAATAAGGTCAAGGGTGTGGAATATAAAATAACAACGAAAAGAAACACAAAACAACTTTTACGAATTGACAATTATATGTAAAGAACATGCTGATTGTCAACAAAACATAAGTATTTGTAATGGTAGGCACAGACTGATAGCTGTTTCTTTCTGAACACATAAGTCTGGTTTCAATCGTTTAATGGCTAAAGCTTTAACGTAACGCAACAAATTTCAATTCATCTGTTTATTAATTATTTTGAACGATTTATGAATATCGACTTCATGTCCACTATAAATAGCGCCGTTGAAGACTTTTCCATCCCTCAGTTGCAAATTCCTTGTAATATGCTCCGATATGCGGTCACAAACCCTACTTTCTGTTCGTACTTTGGCACATACAGGTGAATCGGTAGATATATTTGGAGGTCATCTTTGATTGTTTAAGTGAGTAATTCATTCGGTGGAGTGAGATTAACCCAGCAGCTAAATAAGTAAGCCCTTTTTAAGGTAGCATTTACTCTATAATTAATTCTACCGAAAACATCATCACCTTTGAAACCAAGATTTAGGAAAACAAGCTTTTTCTCGACTGTATCACACCTTACGGTTTTAATCAGTACATTCTTGTACTTATTGATGAATTTTTGTGGATATCCGTTATCAAGGAGGCAATTTTCAAAATATTCATTTCCTCTTCCAGTGTCTCTCCAAAAAGATGTCTTACGCTCTTGAAAAGTGTTTTTACCAGTCTTCTCCTTTGACCAATGGGGGTAAAAGCTGTTGAAGTTAAAATACATTCCACTCCAAGAATATTTACAACAGATACGTCCAAGTATATTACCATCGATAGTTCGTTGAATTCCAATATCAAGGAGATGAAATTGACCATTCTGTTAATATTCCATTGTAAATTTTATGTTTTAGTGTGCTTTGTTGAGTAGACCAAGCAAACGTGAAGCATTTCCCAGGTAATTGTAGACGGTTGTCTCATCGATAACACGCTTTATACTCGTGCGCTCAAGGTTCCCCATAAAGATATCGGCTAGTATGAGTGACTGGCTATCACAACTCTATCAATTCGAGGATACCTCGTGTTGTTGAATTTAAACTGCGCATTCTTGATGTACATAAGTAAAAGGTGCTAAAATCCTTCTTTGGGCAGACGCAGAAGATCAGAATGGTGACATATGATTCCTACAGTTTCTTCTAAAGGTATTCCTGTAAACAGCGAAGACACATCAAAGTACACCATGAATTTATCAGAAATATTCAAACTTTCCAGTTTCTTGGCAAATTCAGAGCTATCTTTCAGGCCATGGAATGCCAACTTTCCACGAATCGGTTTCAACTGCTGTGCTAACCAATGAATGAGCGTTTGTGGAATGGTGAGTTTACCATAGACAATATGGATGTCATTCGAATACTAGGTTTATACAACTTTGGCAAGCCATATTAATACGGCAGATGAGATTCTCGTGGCTTGAATTCATTATAGGTCGAGTTATCAATCAAATTCTTTGACAGGAGTTCACGCAACTTCAGTTACTTCATATCGATGATATCTTTTAATTTTATCAAAATGATTCGAGTATGCAAAGTATTTCGTATAAATTGGTGTTAAAAACTGTTTTAGGTTGTAAGCAGCTGATTAGAAACGATGAAATAAAGTGAACCCATGCTATTCTGTTAAAACTATCGTTCTTGATCTATGTAAGTTTGTGAAGGTTTGAGGTTTTTATGGAGGTGTAGACTACCTGACTGGGGTCCTCGAGACGATAGGAATCAGTGATTGCAGACTCTTAGTGACATGAAATGATGGAGAATATTTGTAGCTCAAGTGGATGGTCTTGGTTGTATTGTGTTCTCTGAGCTGGGTTGTTTAATCGTGAAGCTTTCATCGCCTTGTTAGACGAGATCATCAGCACTAACTTCAGTATAAAGTGAGCTGTCAGCTAACTTTATACTGATCTTATTGACATGGTTGAAAATCGGTCACAATGGCGTAGATGTATTCACTCGTTAGCATCTTCTAAAGCTTAAATATTCGCATTAACCTTCATTTTCAAATTACTTTGTTAACTTCGTCTTTTTTTTATCCCTTTGTTCTTTATCTCCTACTACTGTGAAGTGTGACAAGTTAAAGCGATGCACTTGTGTGCAACGTTCTACGTTGACTTAATCTGTCTATTTCTACTTACGCAGATTTCAGTGAATTCGGAACTCATGAACTATTGAGTGTTTAATTTGTTGAGCTAAAATACTGTGATCAAGGTAAAATGCTTATATTATGGATCTGTAATGTCCTAAATAATCTGTATACTCTTATAATTCTGCAAGACATATTAACTAACTATGCAACAGAACACTGCTATCAGAAATCATGACACATCAAGACAAATATCACATACCTTTTTCTATACAACCAGGGGATTGAAATAACATTTATAAATGTGTTACACCAATCAAGACATATCTACATTCGACACCTGATTGATTAGGCAATTTTATAAACACCACCTGATCACCCCGTCCACTACACTAGGCTAATTGAACAGATGAAGAAATTTCATGATAGTCTACTATGTGTAACTAAAATAACTGAATAATGAATAAATAAGGTATGATAAGTAATTATATGAGAACAAGTGGAAAATATAAAAAGAGATGAATACCTTTTGTAGCATTCGAGCAAGTTCCACTTTTGGAATCCGTGTGTATGCAGTGATTTCGGCAACAATCTGCATGTTCAGAGGCGACATCTATCATTTTTTTTAAAAGGTAAAAATAAACACTTTTACTGTTATTACATATTAAAATTACTAGTACAATGTAATAAAATATGTGAAAATGGAAATACAATAGAAAGAAGGATACTAGTCATTATATGTTGCATGTTTTATTCACTTATTCAATTAGAACGTTTGAAAGTAGAAAAAAGAGTTTAAGTTCTTGTAATGATACTTTTAACTTTCCGTCGGTATACAAGGGCCGAACTGCTTGACCTCTACTGTTAGCAGATGGTTTCCTATAGGGTTGCCTTGATATTGCCGGATGTTCATGATATTATAGTGATCTTGATGACTAGTAATGGAATCCAGGACGCACATTTCGTCCTATTTGAGACTCGTCAGCCGGATGGCTTAGTGGATAACGCTTTGGCATTTGAAGTGAAGGATACTGTTTTCGAGCATCAGTGGAAACAACATCATTCCGCACTGGGGTGCAGGTACATTTGAGTGATGAGTCCCAAGTAGGACGAAACTCACGTCCTCCATTCCTCTGCTAGTAACTAAGATCAATAGAATTTCATTTTTTTAATATATATATATATATATATATATATATATATATATATATATATATATATATATATATATATATTAGAAAACATCCAGAATGGATGCATTGAAGATAACTAAAAAGACACTAATACTTGGTTCTATGAATGAACTTTGAACTTGGAGAACACAAGCAACAATCTTAAGACGATTGAATCAGAGGATGAAAAATACTATCGATACATCGTAGACCTATAAGTGTTGGTATAAACATTCCTTTGAATAATTCTTATTTCGTCAGTGATTAATTAATACAAAGAAAACATTAATCCTAAACGTGAATTCATGAGAGTGGAGTAGAAACCTATTTCAAGTGACATCCTAATATTACAACGCCTAACTAGAACAGTAAACAGGATGTTTAACTCTGGTCACCTTTGGATATATTTTACTGGTCGTTCAATGTTCAATTAGAGAATAAAGGATAACTTACCACATCTTACATATATGTACTTTATGTGTTCCCGTAGAACATAGGACGTACGATTACACAAGGTACGTCCCTAGATATGGAAACATTCTCTAGATTGGCTTGGAAGTGGTGAAAGTGGTAAAAGGTTTCATTTTAACCTGCTTGTTACATACTTTCTCAACATAACTGAAACTACAGTAAAACATCTGACCAAACCTAAACTCAGAATGAAGTAGGAACATGCTCAGATACTACTTTATCCCTGGCTTTCAATAAACCATACACTGATCCCATCATCACTTCTGCTGCCACTTTCTTTACCATCACATTCTTTATATGTATACAAACAATGAGAAAAATGTTTTTGAAAAAACACCGATCTGCTTACAATATCTAATTCACACTTCATTTTGAAAATATATTTACCTTGAACTTGGCCTATTACTTAGCCTGAAAAATTGAACTTTATAACTGTATAACCTGATGAAAAGTTATCGAAAAGAATATTCTTTATTCGTACTCTCTTTTTTATCATCGAAATGAGAATCATTAAATGTTTAAAATGAAATAAGTACAAGTTTGTCTGTACCACTTTGAAGGAAAGTTACAAAATTTAATCACGCCACATGTGTTTTCATGGTTTATTGGTTTAAACACTCGATTTTCAACAGGATAGTGAGGTCAAAGCAGCCAGGTAGTATGTTTAGCCCTCACATGATAAGTATGGTGCCTATTATAAGAAGGTGCACAAGATTATTGAGTTGATTTCAACGTTTTTTCGATCTTATCATGATTCTCACTTGCAAAAACATTATTCATGCATCTTAGCAAAATATATGATATTAGAAGTACTGACTTCGTCTGATATTCGATGCTGCTTATCAGTACACGACACTGGATCAACACATTATCAAGGAAAACTTTCTCATACATCAACAGCTGTCACGTAATTCATCCTCAGAGGATTGTTTGGCATTTGCCAACTTGCGTCACCTGTGGAGCGAATTGACGAGATATCCAACTACCTATCAAAAGATGAATGTACTGAGCTGTAATTCGTTCTGCCTTCTTGTACGACTCTTAAAAATGGCCATTATATATAGATGACATGAAACGGTTGCAGGGTTTCCATGACAGATGTTTTCGTAGCATTGCTTGCGTTTGTTGGAATCGCCATGAGTAATGTTGAGGTTAGGTGAAGGGTAGTAGCCAAGATAGGTAGGCAAGTCGATTGGTGAGGTTGTGAATTTTAGTCGGATTTGACGGCTTGGACATGAGTTGCGCATACTGTGTCACCACCTACCCCAACGTGCTATGCTTGAGGAGGTTAAATTAAGTCAGGAGAGGATTCGGGGTAGCTAGACGAAGACATGACACGAGTCGATCTCTGATTGTTGGTGTGAACCGTGTTGGGAGATGTAGACTATCTCGGTATGCTATGCTACAGGAAGCTGCATTGAGTTGAAAGATGGTTCAGGGTCACTAGACCAAAACCTGGCAACAGTGCATGAAGTCTCTGACTGTTGGTCTGAGTCGTGTTGGGAGATGTAGACTGCCTGATTGGGGTCCTCGAGACGACAGGAACCAGTGGTTGAGAACTTTTGGTGAAATGGCTGAAAATCAGTCACAATGGCGTAGATGTATTTACTCCTTGAGATCTAAAGCTTGAATATTCGCACTAACGTTTATCGTCAGATTGCAATACGCAATCTACTTTATCTGCTTCGATATCACTCTTTTTCTATCCACCAGTTCTTTGTGTACTACTGTGAAGTATGTGGGCGAGGTTCTACGTTGATTTTGCCAGTCAGCTGTGACCCGTTCTATGACGACTTTAGTTGTCATGCGAACTCCAACTTGGAAGCCTACATTTTCCAACATGATTCAGATCGAAAGTTAGAGGCTTCAGACTAATTTCCCGTTTTAGTGTAGCCACAGAATTGAAACAGCGCATGTTCTAGTCACCTCAGTCGGTGCGGGTTTACGAACTCGTCAGATGACTTTTCCCATTTACTTAGGACTCTATTTCTATCTTCTGAATTACTAAAGTGATGGTTTCTCGACATGAAGATAATGTTTCTGAGGCAACAATGGTGGAATGCATGGACCCTTCTCGTGTCTTCTATTTTTATTACTGATGTTTTAAGGCTACATAGAGAAAGAGAACTGCTGTTTGGTACACTTGAACCTTGGTTACCAAATATGTAAATTCATCAACACACTCAACCATTCCGATCCCTACTGTTAGTCGAGGTAAATGAGATACGATAGTTATGTTTGACTTAGGCAGTTGCGGTTCTGTTGTAACGCCTAAAATATAAAGTATTACATAAATAAACAGCTTTCGGAAGGTAATACAGCTACTTTTTCGAACACATATCGAATTACGACACTACCATATTACTGGACATTTCTCCTGTCATTAGTAAAAATCCAAGGAATAGTTGTGATATGTAGTTTACTAACTCGTCAGGTACCTTTATACTGACATGAGATTAGTGTTTTAAAGAGCAAACTATTTCATGGTTTACTTTGACCAAAAGTGTCTTCGATGCATTGGGATTCAGTTAGAAGAAAGCTAAAAGTGACTAGGCAAATATATAGTAGCGATCCATGAAGAAGAGCTGCATCTCCGGCTCGAGAGAAAAGATCTTCTAAAAAAATTCGTATGTAATCGGCCTCAAGCAGATGTTCCTGGGTTCTGGGGTCACGCACTAACCATTATTTTCAAGTACCTTTAGAACTAATCTTTCGTAATATGAGCAGTTTGGAGGTATCAACCGTTTACACGCTTATAGTAGCATAAGAAACCCTTCTTACCTTTAAATCCCCTTATTGCCTTCACTTCTTGATATAAATATCAAACCTTTTACACCTTCCTCAATCTCTCACTCTCCCACCTTTGTCAACGACTTAAGCTAGCGAAACACCTTTTCCAGTCCCCTAAAGTCCCGCTATTGGTTTCATATCAGAGCTCAACGTCCGGACTCTATGCCAAATGGGACAGCAAGCAATGCTCTCTAGAATCCTGGGATCTCGAGTCATGAATGCGTGAGATGTCTCTGAGACAGGTATACAGAACCCGCGTGTGGTTACTAAACTGACCTCACTTGACCGGCGTGGTGAATTCTTAAAATTCACTTTACGAGTATCCGGAGAGTCGCTGGCGTAGGCATAGTATTGAGAAGTACAGCAGATAGCACATTCGTCGTTCGGATATCAGTCAACAGCCGTTTAAGTGCCGTTCGATTGAATGGATTTGTAAGGACTAGGAAGGATCATGAAACTAGATGATGCCTATTCGTAATCTCTCCCAAGGCACCCACCGGCTGCAGTTTGGATGATGCAAAGGATGAATTCTACGAAAAGCTGTCAATTTTACTACGGAAGGCGAAAAGTTCAGATATAGCCATAGTGCCAAGTGACCGCCCGTTGCTACTACCGGTTGGTGCAGTCAGGGAAGTGGCTTGCCACTCGACTGACTCTGAGATGACCTAATTTGACTATTTAGAGGAAGTAAAAGTCGTAACAAGGTTTCCGTAGGTGAACCTGTGGAAGGATCATTATCAGATATCCCTGTTTATTTAAAAAACCAAGCTGCGGTAGCTAGCGTATTTACCTATGCGAAGTGTGTGGGTTGCAGGTCCATTCTCATGCCGATGGCATATAAATACGGTGTGCTAAGACATGCAGGTAAATCCTTATATTAAAAAGGAAATTCGATAATTGTTTGGAGAGGATTGGTGGAGATGCACTTGTTTCGACGTCGATTGCGCGTTATTACAGGCACGCGTATGCTTGAGCCTTACTGGTCACAGGAAACAGACTACTGAACAACAAGTACATATTTAGAGAGGATACAACTAAGCATTTATCGAAGCATGATGCGCTTTCAGCTTGCTCTAGAAGCAGCGGTAAGGATAATTGGTAATCCACATATAAAGGTTAACAAACTTCAGTGCATTTCCGCAGCCCCATTCGAACTGGTTGATTCGAGAAAACTCATTCCAGTTGGCTCTGACCACAATGAACAGCGAAAGCAACCAAGAGTATTCGCAATGATCGTGAGCAGTGGTAGGTGGCAAGAGCAAGAGAGATAAAGAAGGAATCAGTATTAGGTAGGGCCCGGCAACTTTTTAGGTTTATCAAGAAAACTCTGAAGAAAAAGATGATGAGTGAAACCATTACCGAAAAAGATTGGATGCTGAACACTCATTGGGATAAACGGTTAGGATGTTGGGTCAAACACTTCGAAGCACAGTTTATCATTACTATTTGTCCCTTGGGTTCCTAATGGAAAATAGGGCTTTAGTAGCACTTCTCCAGTGCCGTTTAACTGGTCCACAAAAACGCTTCCGTTGCCCAGCATCCAGCCCGAACCTCAATGGGACATACATCTCGGTCCTCCAGCTCTCCTCTAAGTTGAGAAAGTTATTTCAAGCCTGAAACAATACAAAGTTGCAGGACCTGAAGATTCGTCACCCAAAGTTTTTAGGGATGAAAGTAGGATGCTGTGTAGTGGATAAAAATCAGACGCAGTCCCGTCGGACTGGTCTACTGCACTGGTCATTTCATTCTATGAGAAAGAAGAGAAATCTTGTGACAATCATCAAGAGATCAGTTTGACTAACATTATGTTCAAGATGCTGGAGCTCAAGAACAGAAAGCTCACGTAAACCAGGTAGGTTTCACACTTGTAAGAGGGTGTATCGAGATTTTCGCCCTTGTCAGGCTACGGAATACATGCATACTTACCGGCGACCGAAACTTGCCATATTTGTTGACCTGAAGTTGGCATTCGACTCTGCCAACCATGAGGTGTTGTGGCAGTGTATGACTGAGAAAGATGGATCCAACAAATATGTAACGCTAATTGAAGCCCTCTACTCGAACTAACATAGCAGGTTGAGGAGTTATGGGAAGTTGTCATCTTAATTGATGACAACCAGTGGTCTTTGTCAGGCATGTCCACTGTCCCTACCTACATTTGTTGTAAATGTACTAATGGGCGTAGCCTTAAGCGATTCTGACATCACATGGATCGATCTACTCCCTAGAAGACATCTGATTGACTTAGAGTGTGCAGATGACATTGTCCTCCCAGATGAAGACACTGACAAAATGCTAGGTCTTCTGAACGCGTTGAGTAGAAATCTGTGTATATTTGGCATGCATTTTACACATGTCAAATGTAAGACGATGCTTCAGGACTAGTCAACAACTGCTCCCAATCTAAGGATGGGAAGTGAAGTGGTTGAGTGCATCGATCACCTCACTTACTTAGGGAGTTGTATCCGGTCGGTCAGACAGATTGCTGATGAAATTTTAGCTCAGCTACAGCAAGACCGTTTGGCATTTACCAGTATGCTTCATCGCTTGTGTCAAATGTCAAGACACTCGAATACCTATTAAAGGGCGAGTGTAGTGTCCTGCGGTTCGTCCTTTCCTGCTATACAGCTATGAGACATGGGCCTTAAAAGTAGAAGATATGAAGAGACCATAGGGTTTTGACCATAGATATCTGCGTAGCAATGTCGAGGTAAGGCGAAGGGTGCTAGACAAGGGAGGCAAGTCAGAAGATGAGGTAGTGGATCTTTAGTGACTGAAGTGGCTTGGATATATACGACACATGCAGAGCCACCATCTACTTCCGAGTGCAATGCTAGAAGTTGGATAAGGTTAGAAGAAGGCTCATGGTGGCCAGACCAAGACGTGGCACCAGTCAATTAAGTCTGTTGGTTTGAACAGTGTAGGGAGGTGTAGACTAAATGGCCAGGGTCCCTGAGACTACAAAAACCAATGGTTGTATACTCTTGGTGAAATGGTTGTAAATCGGTCATGATGTTGCAGACGTATTCATCCTTTGACGTCTTCTAAAGCTTGAATACTTCCTATAACCTTCATTTTCAAATTCCTCCCCTTCCATATACCTCTGTCTACTTTGTTATCGATCTTTTTCTATTCACTTGTTCTTTGCATAGTGCTGTGAATTGTGATAACTTGAAAGGATGGACTCCTCTGCAATGTTTTACGTTGATTTTGTGTGTTTTGCAACAAGTCTACAACATTATGCATGGCCGCCATAGCTGTTTCGAGGATGTCATCAGTGACAAAGTTAAAGATGAATGGCAAAATCGGACAGCTTTGTCAAATCACAGTGTCAGCTTGAGTCATGTATATGATGGGTGTATGCCTTCACTCTCCCCAGGTATTATGGTACAGAGCCCTCAAGGTGTTAACTCCTGAGAGAAACTACCTTCCCTAGTATATAAGTCCAAAGCAAAGCGCTGTTCAAAGAACTGAATTTAATCCTAATATTGTTGAGTATGATTGTTGAACTGCAATACGTATGTGTTCAAGCATCGGAAGGAGGGTGAACATGTGATCGATGCATCTACGACTTGCACAAAATCCAGCCCACTCTTAGTGCACCAGCTTGTCACACTTTTTCAATTCTGTGAAGGATGGTAGCTCTCTAAATTCTAGCCGCTGCCGGTAACCCCGTAATTGCTACATACGTCGGCTCTTTTACAAATAGGTACAAAAAAGGGCTCATTCCAAAGTGATGGAACACTCACTATGACAAGTTTCTTGAGGAATCTAGTTAATCGTTTTACTGTTATATCTTATCCTTAAAAAAGCAGGAGCAGGCTATCTTGGCTAGATGTCGCAAGTGTTTCAGTACTTGAAGTTAGATTTTAATCTTTATATTGTCAGGTGGGTCAGTGAGGTAGTGGGGTTGGACTTTCTGTAGCAGTCAAACAGCTAAATTGCCTCTTGAAGTGCTTCATCCGGTGTGCCAGAAGCCCTTGGCAATTGTTAATCCTTTTCAGTGGCTTCGTGCACTAGGTAATGAGCTGGATTTATTGTGTGCGGTTTGACGGTTTAGTTGCCCAAACCTCGAAACGATGGTCCACTAGTTGAAAATCAACTGCTTAGAATAGAACCGCAGCTCTACAATAGCTGGTCGACATACTATTTCTGTCACAGACGGTTTCACTGATAACAGGTTCCTTATTGTTGTTGGTGGTTTAGATGAGGTAGAGCAGCTCTTGACTATTACCACACGTAGATACTGTTTTCACATCACTACCACATTTTGGTCGCTAGGCGTTGCATAAACATCTTGTGATTTTTCGCACAGAAGAACTACACATCCCACTGTAATCTCTATTTACCAGAATAGGATAGAAAAAACATGAAGAATTTAAAGGAAACTCATACACAACCAGTGCTTATTAGCAGGACTTTCTTCGAAGTTGTGAAAAGCCTCAGTTACTATTTTCATAGCATTCTTTAGGTGCAACTAGTACTGATATGCAGTTTCTAGAGGTTCGACAGCTAATCTTAGTACTCAGTTGCAGTACTGATTGTTATTATTTAGCTTATGTGCACCTATCTAAAACGATTATTTTGGTGAAAACCAGAACGGAAGATGAACTGAGCGAACTAGTGTGGTCAGCGTTCGAACAGTTGCTTCAGAAAGAGCAGAAAACTTGTGCGTTTAAGCCGTCGATAGCTAATCGGAGTGTGATGTATTTGAAACCAAACTTGGGTGGCAGAGGGGGGAATTCAGGTAGAGCAACGGTAATGCATTTGCGGAAAATTAGACTTGACTAGAAATGAGCTTCGACCTGTAGAAGATTATCCCCATTTTCTGACCTGCAACCGACTTTTACTGATTGGTTACCTAAACTAGTCTCTTTGTAGATTAGACATCTAATTTATGCATTCAGCTGGCACTTTAATATCTATCCAGGTCAGTCAATTGATGATATAACATCCTGTTATATTGCAGCTGCAGTTCGCCAGAGCATAGAGATGTTGAAGAAATATCGTCTCCCTTGCTAGTAAATTCTTACTCTAATTGAAACTTTTCGCCTAACAGCATGACTGTGAATGAGGACCTAGAAAACGAGTACATTTAACATCCAGTACAATATCGACATTAGCAAGGTCGAACACCAATGTCAAAACGTTCTCTGATCAAGCCACTAAACACACTTTTCGAGGTAGAAGATAGAGTTAGTCGAAGAACACTTGAATCGGGCGTGCATATCTTTAAGATAAAACAAACATCAATGGCATGACTTTCGAGGACCCTAGCTAAACCTGTCTGCTGTTAAATTTTCAAAAGTATCCAAAAGTTAGAAGGCAGCCAGACCAAACAGTGCACAATTTCAGGATGTGTCAAATATCCAACAATAGGACAAGTTTGCAAGAGCAACTATTTAACAAATCAAAACGGCACAAACCAGCCAGAATTTTCAAAAATAGTGAGCAGGTGAGTGAAATTAATGAAAGAGATAGAAGTACAATGACGGATGTATTGCCTACGGACAACCATGGGAATACGATTCATGACTGCATTTTAGATCGCACCTTTAAGTAAAATGTCCTCAGACATAACCACCAGGCCAGTATAGGAGTTTGAGTCGTACCCCAACGGTCAAACAAGTTATAACATGGAATTCAACCTTAAAGACAGTCATTTGAAATAGCTGTTTCGACCAGACTTACTGGGATTTTTTCTTCATCCAGATCTACGGGATGGCCCATGAAACCTTCAACTACCCATGCGTGACGTCGAAGATCATCCATTTTGATACGCTTTTTGGGATCCACACATATCATTTGACTAAGTAGGTGTTTACTAGTTTTGCTCAAACCATCAGGGACTGCAAATAAACCTTTCTGCCTCCAAAAGCTAGATTAGAACGTAGTAACTTACACCAATTGTTTGTGGGAGTTCTTCCGGCTTCGTGGGGTCAAAAGGAAGACGACCGCAAAGTAATGCATAAAGAATCACACCCAAAGACCATATGTCAGCCTGAGAATAAACGAAATTAAAAACACTCGTTAAAAATCAGTAGTTTTGTTGATGAAATCCTAGGAACTTAAACCAAGATTGATTAACGTAAAGAGGCTAAGGTGAGATTACTTACGTAGTTCGAATCATAAACATAACCAGGTACCAACAACACAATTCATAAGTTAAGAGAAAGATTTTCCGCCTGAAGCGGGGCTGTGTGGCGTTGGTTCGGGCGTTTTACTTTAAACCAGTGAATTACTAGTTCGAACCTCTTTTCCACCTACCAAAGCTCGGGAAGTCAGATAGCGCCATCTAACTCATAATATGCTTGGTCAAGCATTTACTGTATTAGAAAGTGTGGTCATTCGGTTTCTAGAAAGGCAGATATTTACTAAATACCTGGCTGTCATGTGAAGAACCTGCAGGCAAGGAAAAGTGAATCCCAGCTTGTAAAATATAATGAGAACTGCATAACTGGGTTCGGTATCAGTCTCAGCGATTAATGTTTACTTCAACATTATTATTATTATTATTATAACACAAACATGGTAGAGTAAGGGGATCAAGAAATGTGCCACAAAATAATATAACGCTATTTTTATGAAGCGACAGGAGGCGGACAAGTAAAAAAGAATAGCACGATTACAAGGGCAGTCCGGTAAGATACATTCAAAACAAAACATTCATTACTTTTCAGCAGCAGAAGACAGAAAGAGGCTACAGCATGACCGACACTGACTTCGATTCTCAGCCATATCTGATGACTTCTCAAGTCGCTGAGTTGGGTGATCTCTCTGACCCCACTCAGGGAGTCTTGGGGCACTAACGGATGCTAACCTGATACAACTATCCTTCATCTCATGGTGCCACGTCATACATTGACTATCCATTCGCTTCTTCCATCCACTCCCAGGGTTAGCAAACAATGAACGATATAGAAGCCGTTGGAACGACATGCACAACAAATGTCCAAGCCACCGAAGTCGATGTTTCAAGATGACTTCACTTACTGATTGACGACTTCCATCATGCTCATACACACGCTGCAGTACCTCAAAATTATTTATATGGTGTTGTCACCGGATATGACATCCTACGGACAACGATGGTCGAACAGACAGAGTCATTTCACACTCTTAACTCCGAGAGGCCAGATTTAACAGGCATAGAGCAGAAATGCTTGCGCCGAAGCGTTTTAATCCCGACCTATTATTATCATCAGACTACCGTCATAACGGCGCCTAAGGTGACCCGGATTGAAGTGTGCCACTATGGCTTTCAATACGTGGTTAAAAATTTCATCATACCTTCACCGGCATTCATACAACTACCCGGATACACAAACTTTTCGACCACTTACAACGGCTGACAACAAGGAGTGCAGACACAGGCTCCTGCCAATTTCGCAAAAGCACTTTGCACTTTGATGGTGCAAAGCGCATACCATACTTACGGCCACTAACACTAATCGTCAACTGATTGAGTGCAATTTGAGTAGCCTGTGTTATCGCACAGTAAGACGATATCATCCGCACACTCAAGGTCAAGCAGTCGTTCTCCGGGTAGCAGATCTACACTACCACCGTGCATATCCTTCAGAGCTGTCTCAAGAATGCCATCGATTGCAAAGCTATTGAGAAATACATAAATCGGACTACTCTGCCTAAATCCACTGCTGGTTTGGAACAATGGAGACAGGTGGTTGCATACCCTTACTCTACCTGAGGTGTTATATGGGGCATTTAGAATGTTAATAAATGCCACAGACACGTCCCTCTAATCGACAATTCGAGTACAGCCCTATCCAACGAATCGAAGGCAGCTCCAGTGGCAAGAAACACAACGACTGTTGACCTACAATACGTTTGGCGATATCCAAGTATCTGGTGGAGTATAAACACACGATCAATGCATCTACGATTTGAAGGAAACCCGGACTGCATCTCTCAAAACCTTGCATGTGAACTATGCATATCAAGTGAAATAACATCAAATTAACCGTCTGACTCCAAGTAAAGTATATGAATTACATTTTATTTCACGCATAGTTTGGGTGTACTAAAATTTGATTTGCTAAGGTCGATGAATTCATCAGATTTCAGAGTGACAACTGATTCCAACAACACTGTCGGATGACAGCGCAGTATATCGAGTGATCTTAACTCGAAATACCTGAGATTCACCGATTGGACAGCAATCCGTAAATTGCAGGAGTCTTGAATTAAAATATACCATCATGGTTTGTACTGCTGAGGTACATGACTGAAACTATTTGCCTGTTCAGCTCTCTTTGGCTTTTAGTCTTATTTCAGGTGTCAGCATGCTACGCAAAATACCATTTAGATGAGTTTGAATGTTAGTGATTAGGTGATAGGCTCAATATTGATCACAATTCTAATATCCCTAAGATGAGCCATATTTCATATTTCACAGACACACTAAGTGTTCCCAGAATCTTGTGAAAGGGGTTTCCTCTACCTAGGTTTGTTCGTTTTATTGTGAGCCCACTCGCTCCCCAAACAAGAGTGGTCATCCAGGTGAGTCCTAGAAAGGTCGTGACGTCGTTCGCCCGCATTTAAACCAAGGCAACATGGACTTTTACTGTCAATCAGAAAATACAGTGGGGAATACAATGTATTCCATACTGAAAGTCTGTAATCTTTTGTCACATTTTCGATCAACCGGTTACGAAGTTTGCCCGAATAACCTCACAAATATGGTGAAGTAGGCCGTTTTAATACATCCGATGTAATGCATAAGAAACCCGATGGAAGGCAGTGGAAATTCCTGGCACAAAAATGGCATCATAACCAACTAGATTTCACATTACAACTAGCGTTCAAATGACCCATACCAAGTGGTCTAAATAAGCAGCTTTAAATACAAGAGAACTTTATACAAAAACGACACAGTACTCACAGCATTTCCTGAGTATTCCTTGTTGGCTAGAACTTCGGGTGCAACGTATGCAAACGAACCACAAAACGTATTCAACATCGACAGATTATTACCCTGCAAATTAGTGAAGCCAGAGATACTTACCTTGGCGCACAGACCAAAATCGATTATTCTTACATTCTGATCATTATCTAGTAGGATGTTTTCCTGAAAAATGCAACTAAGAGGAAAAAACTCACTGGTTTCAGGTCACGATGGGCAAAGCCTTTGCTGTGAATGTATCCTATAGCCGAAACAATCTGTCGAAATATGACACGAGCCTCAACCTCGGATAAGTGTTCTTTCTGAAGAATGTAGTCGAACAGCTCTCCACCTGGAAGATACTACCGAAGATGAATTGTGTGAATAATAATACCTCCAAAATCAAATAAAAGTGTGTTTGTGTCTCCACCACTTGATACAACTTGTAAATGTACTTGTGATTCAGCTGTTTGAGGGCTTCTATCTCGCATCGAACACGAAATGCATCAGCCTTTAACAACAGTAAATTAAACCAATCAAAATACCCCCAGCTTCCTCTTATCTAATATTTTAATAGCAACTTTCTGGCGAGTTACTGCATGAAGTGCGATGTATAGGACACCAAATGACCCTTCAGCAAGAGGTTCGCAAAAAAGGTACAGTCCTTGAAGAGCTTTAGGCGCTACGAGCGCCATTAACCTGAGTATTTGGCTGCGCGGTAACAACCTACGTGCAGCCAGTCGAAATTTAGACGAACCGCCTAACCAGAACGTCCTGTAACCGATGCTATTGAACTGAGGAACCGTCCAAATTATGCGGGCTCATACACTAGTTATGTCTGTGAAATTCACGGGCTTAAATGTGCTATTTACTGGCCGTACAACTTACTAGCGGTGATTTTATCTCCTCCAACCACATACAGCAACCTAAAAATGTTAAACTGAATAAATTTTTCTCATATAGCACACAATGAAGCGGAAATGTTTACTTGGATTGAAATGGTGTACAGGTCGATGCAAGAGACATATCTTATTCAGAAAAATAAAGTTATCAGTCAGATACCACAATTCAGAATAAGTAGTAGGGAGGTGTCCTCCATGAATACTCATGCCGTTTGCCCCGTCTCCAAGCCACTTTTGGAAACAGAGTTGATAGATACCCGGTCAGGTTTTATCGCTTTCCGCACTGACGGTTGTTCGAGCAGATTTACGAATTCTGCCACTTCCGGTACGCATATTAATATCCCGACTTGTGACTACTTTCAATCGGTGGTTCTTCGTTAGTCTGGACTCCTAACTGTATTTTAAGAGTTTACGTGACTTGTTCCGAGAACGTCAAGTCTCTAGAATACGTGATGTTAAGATTTAACACAGAAGAGCGTCAAGGTAGCTTTTGTCCATATACATCGAGGGTCAGGTCAAGGCTGTAGTGCCTATGCTAAGGTAACTACATTTGTCATCATGGAGTTCCTGGCGGAACGTTGAACACTATATTGGAAGTTTACGTAACTCCTGTCGGGCGGTATTCAGAGTATTAAGTAGCTCATGAGGGTGACAAGCGAACAGATTCAAGATCATCGGAGCACAGGGATATTTTGCATTCACTGGAGCAATAAAAAAACACCGCTGCTATAAGCCACAAACACCAAACGCCCAAGGGCAGTGCACTGCATAGATCCATTAGTTGGGGGGGGGGGGGTTTAGATTTGGACCACACGGAGTTTGCTTTTACATTTTGAGTACGATCACTAACAAACCATTTTACTTAGCCAGGTAAGGGGCCACGAATGCCATTCGGTCGTGGCTTATTAAGGGTATACTACGAAACACATCATCAAACGCCTTCGATGTGTCGAAGTATTGAACAATGACTATTTTTCACGTCTTGCTGTTACCAGTGATGAAGTTGAAGAAATCAAAATGACAGGTAGGGCAAGAACTATCCTTAATGAAGCCATGATGAGACTATGTGGTTGGGTTTCACATCGGTAGGTAATCAGAGACGCTGTACCTAATTACTCGTCCTACAATTCTAGAGAGGACCGGTGTTATGTTGTTGAGTCTGTAATAAATGACGTCTGAATCGTCCCCGGACTTGTAGCGAGGCATTATATAGCCGGTTCTCAACTCAATGGGATATGCTCTGCTTTGCGCGGATAGGGTGAACATCTTAAGCAGGGACAGCGATATGTCATTACCACTGTTTTTGATGACGATTAAGATTAGGTTGTCTATTCCCCTACCTGTTGACAGTCAAAAGTTCTTGATAGGCTCTGTGATACTTTTGGCGGTAAATCTTAAGATGGAGCATGAAACCGTAGTGGGCGGCGTGAACGCGGCGGGATTAAGAGTGCTAGGACAGGAACATGCGGGCAATTCACTAAGCAGCTCAAGAATTTCGAGGGGATAGCTGTAGACCATCCCGCTCTGTGACATAAGCTACGTCTCTTGATGGCTGCAAACGTCTATTCAAATAACAGTTCACGCTATGTATCCTAGAACCCCTCTTGAGAGCGTCCAGCTATTCCTTTACTGGGTCCCGTGCACGTAAGTTCTGAATCACTCCGTAAGTATCGTGAGTTGAGTGCAACACCAGAAAGTCTCTAGAGGAGTGATATAGCACAGATAACTTTCTTGGTATGTTGCAAGGTATCCGAGGGGTATTTTCACCGTGATTCTTCCTGCCTTAACAGCCCCCATAAGGGCAACAGTGTCTAAACATGACATTCTATTTCTATAGAAAAAAGGTGACTCTACTAATGAGGCCGTTATGAAGTATTCATCTAGTGGGCTGCACCTGAGGAGCTCGATGAATACCTCTCATCCTATATTTTGTGGCTACGATACAAGGTATTTCCAGCAGTTTCCTTGTTTTCCTCACAGGGAGGAAGGATCACTAAGCAACAGAAAACCATTTTGTGGTCACTGTCAGCTGGTTCGCCACTAATATACGTGGTGACTGGGATGATGCTGAAACAAAAGACTAAATCCATCATGCTGCCCCCACGTGTGGGTGAATGGACATAATTTTTCCATCCGTAGAAGCCTACGACAGTAATAATTTCGGCATGGCGTCGCGGGCCACAACTGGTTTTCCGGCCAACTTCAGTTTGAAGCCAGCATTGATAGGTGTGGCCTGGGGAAATGATTGAGCGATGTATTCATGGGCTTTCCTTGTTGGACATGGTGCTCTACAGATGCGGCCTTGAGGGATTTTACAGTTAGTACTGTTTATAACAACCCCGCAGTGAATCAGAAGCAGTACATAATATGCCGTCTTGGGTCTCATTAGCTGTAGCAAGATTACATATATAAATCGGGCAACCCCACCACGCTTATGATCGCGGTTATTGAGACAAACGGTAAAACTGTACGTGGACAGGTCTGCATCAAGGACTGAGGTGGGACGCCACGATTCGGCGGTCAGCGACACTGTATGTTTACCAAGTAAAACTGGCATTCTTAGGTCAGAAATTCCCCCAGGCAAAGAAAGTGCGTTGATAGACAAAGTGTCACAAGGTTACCGTAACTTGTGAAGTATTTCACAATCTCCTGTACACCTGGTCGGTCAGAGGTCCCCCAAACTTAATTCGTTAGTGGCGTTCCACCTACGTTACGGACAATCCGAGACTCAGTAGTGGTGTGTAGCCGCATGACAGGTGAGATTTTACGGTTGAACGATTTAGGATCACCAGCTTTTCGAAGGCATGTGTACGCGGTTCGTTCTCAACGGTGACGTCCAGTATGATTTATGACCGGTGTAAACCGAGGGCAGTGGCTCCAAGCCTACGTTCTTGAGTAGTGAGACTATCTTATATACGATCGGTCGTACATGCCGCGCGGGATCCCAAAACTTTTGACACAGCCGAAAAGAAGAGGTATTACTAGGGGAAATTATATATATTCTCTTATTACAGGCTGGGATCATCGGGGTGCTAAGATAGGGTGGAATGGGGTGTATGTGACCAGTTAGAAATAAAGATGTTCGACATGTCACTTGGCATCCTATTTGGGCCTTAATGGCTGGAAAACGTGACCCAGGTTATTGTGTGATGTGGGATACCCCTAAGCTGCTGCTATGGTACCTCTCTCTAACGGTTGGGGTTAGGTGGGAAACTTGCTGTTTGGGTGGTTTTCACGAACCCCCCATTTCTCTTGCATCTAGCAACAGTTTCGCTTATTGCGGGCGTGCTAGCTACGAAGTGTTCTTCGCCCTCATCAGACAGAATGCGCTCAAAATTTGCTTTCTTTCAGAACTTCATGGGTTTGATGGGCAGGGTTTTACCCGCGGGTCTTTGTTCAGTGACGGGCTTTTGTCTGCGGTTACCTTAGGGGAGGCAGTATCGATAGCTGTGAGTCTGTGAGGAACAAAGGATTGAGTTTGCTTACGTCCAAGTTCACTTGAGGTTGCTGCAATGCTACGGCAGTTAAGGTAGTAAGATTGCTAATCTCAGCAACACTGTCCGGCTGTTCCTCCATGCGCGCAGTATCCCCAGAGTTTAAGTGTACTGGGGCGGTAGGCGTGTTTTGCCTTTGTTTAACGCGCCGACGTGGAGTTTTGTTCGGCACAACTGCAATAATTTCCGAATAGTCACTTAGTCTTAGACGATCCAGAGGGCTGATGAACCTTTAAAGTCATACTAGGTGGTGAACTTGAAAAAAACGGGGAAACCCGACTGTGCTGGTTTCTTGTGAGGCGTTTACAGTCACAGCGTGTGGCTGTCGTGCCACATAAGTCCAGCACCCTTTTCCTGGCAGCATCCAAGAGTATGGTATTTGGGACATGATATGTTATGGCCGGTTGGGAAGATCCCAGTCTCTCCATTACCTCAGTTTTCAGGATGTCCATTAGAGTTTCGGCTTTTTCGACATTGCTTGCGACTAGGCTGTAGTGTTTCCTCAAAGAATAATCTGAGAGTTGAAAGACCCCAACCGCCCCATCTGCCGTAGATTTAAAATTATCCATTTGTATTTTATTTTCTCCAATGTCATTGCTGGTTACCGAAATTGTCGTCAGCCTTGACGAAAGGCGTAGGGTATGTAAGTTCGTCGGGATGTGAACTATATGACGCGATAGAGTTTTGATCATACCCGAAACTGCAGCGGAAACAACTCTTTTATTTTCCTCGCCAAGGCTACCCAGTTCCCAGTGACTAGCTGCTTCATGGTCTAGCCCAACAAACGTATGTGTGCCACGCATACACATGAACCCAATCCTAGCGTCTCAACTAAAAGATTACGCTCACTAACTGGTTCGACATCAGGCTGTAGAAGAGGCCCTGAAGTTAAGGTGCTCGATTTGATAACCTTGCAGAAATTACTACAAGACATGAAAGCAAAGCTTCGAGTTATCCTGCCACTGCTGCATCTTTGTCAGCCTAATCTGAAAGTCAGTGGTGAAACCCTATGGAAAACAGAAAGTGTGCTAGATTTCGTTGCTACATAGGTTATTAAAAAAAATTATGTCCTCATACAATGTATTAATGCGCAACATACCCGACCATGGACCGATCAAACAACTAAAATCCTCATGTTTGCAGGCTTGTAACATATCTTCTGCAGAGTCCCAAGTTATGCGTCCCCGCAAGAAGTTGGGGAAATATACCTGCCTCTTGTTGTTCAAATTTAGTTACTCTTACCACGCCTGACACTTCCTAGCATCCAATCAACGTATCCATACCATATAAAAGTGTCAAACTTTCACAAAACTCAACACCTTGTCAAAGACGTGGTCGCACAAAAATGCCAAAAGCTGCAAACTCTAGTCAAGCT